ACGCGCTTGCAGGATGTGAGCACTGCCAAGCGCGAAAGGGGTTGATCCGACTGTAGGCCAGATTTAATACCTTCGTCAAACCATTCCGGAAACTACGCCTAGGACCAGACCAACTAGGACTATCCGAGTTCGAGGTTCCGTATCGTAGTCCTACCAATCTCCTGCTACCGAAGCCTCCGCACGCACAGACAAATTCTGACAAACAAAGAAAAGAACAGTCTGACAAACACTCCGACAAACAACCGAAACCAGTTCGAATCCTACGCTATCCATCCAAGACATCAATTACTGCCAATGCTCAAAACACAGACGACAAACAAGGAGACCGGTTCGACTCCTACGCTATCCATCAGAGAAACAACTACCACCAATCCATGTTTCTGGTCCCATACAGTCCACCAAACAAATCAACAAACAAAGGAAACCGGTTCGAATCACTCAATCCTCGTCCAATGTTCGAATCACACAGACAACTAATCGATGGGTTCTCACCCTGGTCCCATGAACCTCATTCACCACACACTAATTCCCAGATCAGTTTCCACAGTGGTTCCTTATCCCTGGCAAAGTTCCTCAAAGCCTTCGAGAACAGTTTATCCAGATACTTCCGCCTTCGCAACTCCATCTTCAACAAGATGACTGCTTCCATGACTCTTGCACTGATCATTGAATTCTGCCGAATTCTATAGCCGCCATCTTTGTCTTCTTGCTCGACCATGAGTCAAAATCCTGGAACGTACAGAAGACCAGATTGCCTCCATCAATTAGCGCCCTCTCGTTTTTTGCTTTCTGATAGCGGCCAAGGTACGGGTATGTTTGTCTTACCACCAATTCACAGCCCAAGAAATCCCATGCACCATCGTCTGCCTCCGTTTTCTTCAGGGTTAAATTCAGGTCGTAGCATTCCTCAAATCTCCTAACTATCTTCTCTGCTCTCTCCTTCGATCCAATTCTCCTTCCATTGTATGCTACGAACACCGACGCATCATCCACAAATCGCAGTCCTGCCACAAATCGCTTCTGCCCACCCAGGGTTATCAGGAAATCTCATTCTGCCTTTGCGCACATAAGGCATGCCGATGGGGGGCTTGAAGATTTCCCCATTGGAATCCCGATCTTCTGCAGCAAGATGTACCCTCCAGCCTTCGTGTAGCAGTTGCGCAAGTCCGATGTTATAAAATCAAGCAATATTCGAGACTCTACTCGCCTATAGCCCTCCGGCTCATCTTCCCTGCACAACTTCGTTTCTCTCCCTCTTCTCTTCACGACAACTCCCTCGAATCCCTTTTCCTTGTACCACCAAATACACCACTCCACGGATTTCATGATGGTCGAGTGCAACAATTTAGAAAACATATCTTTTATATCGTATGACACCGCCATCACTCGAACATCAGAACACGTGCGTCCCAGTTTTCTGTTCATCCTTTCCAACTTCCCCCCCATTCCCGAAACCGATTTCAGATTAAAGTGACCGCTTTCTGGTAGTCCGAACAGCATCGCATTCAGACATTTTGTCGCTGTCTTACATACCATGACTCCCGGTTCACAATACGTTGGACAAATCGGCCTGAACTTCGTCGTGTCCTTGTGTTTAGGCAGCACGTACGCCGACCCCAACTCAGCCTCCGCCTTCCACTTCCCCATCCCTCCATACTTCTTTCCTCTGAACTCCTCCATTTCGCTCAGAATTACCGCTTCTTCCGTCATGCTAACTACGTACCCGTCGTTCTCGATAAACGTCTCACGCATCGCCCTAAAATACACACTTGGACACATAACCAGCGTGTCTCCTGGATTCCTATCCAGCAGGGCTAGGACCAGATTTCGCAGTTCTCTTTTTAATGCGAGCACTTCTTCCACATCAGTAACCTGATCCACTTTCAATTCATCGACGCACTTCATCAGTTCCTCCGGCAGCGGCCTCTCTATCACCATCCCATCACCCAGCCAATCCAGGTTCGACAGGCCCTGGCTGATTTCCACCTCCAATCTTTCATGCAGCGCTTCGATCCTGTCTCTCGGGATGTTTTTCACATTCCCAGCAATCCCAGGACAACCCTGCCACGTGGATAACCGGAATAGGACGTGCATCTGGCAAATCCATTGGCCGCACTACGGCAGTGGTTATGGATAATTTCACCTACGTTGGGACTTCTCGTCCAAACAACGCGGGCTCTACGTCTGACCATATTTCGAATTTCCGCATCTAGGGGTAGTCCGCCCACTAACCTCCTCACCAATCGCACCACTTTCGCTCTCTTCACTCTCTCGTCGAATCTTACCTTCACCACTACCGTTCTTCGAATATTCACATTGTGTCCTTTCTTAATTGCATCGGAGATCATTTTCCTGGTCCGAGACCTACTCTTCTTCTGTGAAAATAACTTCGCTGCACTATAGAAATGAACCAGCATCTTCATTGGTCGTTGCGCTAACTTCGCAGCTCTCTTCCTGTTCTTGAACATTCTCACGATCTCTTTCTTCAACTTCAGACTGCGAGGAGATGCTTCAACTGCATCCCGCAGCACAATCTCCCCTCCGCTTTCCAGTAGCTTCTTACATTTCCTTAGTGGCCTTGTCCTTCCTCCGACTTTCACCCGCGACTCGCCAAACAACCGGAGCACCACCCGCCACTTATCGCTCCATACTCCACCTCCATTTCCATACACCTTGACCTCTTTCCCATGGCTTGGTTCAATCAGACTCCTCAGCATATCACATAGTCTAACCGATGCTTCCCCTTCCTTGCCCCGTTTCCAACTCGACACCTTCGTCGCTACCCTCTCCACATTTGGTTCTACGTATTCCTCCACATCATGCTCTCTCTTCCACTTCTTCGCTCGTTCCTTCTTCCCTGCTCTACACCGTTTCTTCGTACTCCTTTTCTTTACCTCCGAGTTCAATGACGGAGCCCATTCCCGGATAAGCGTCCTTTCCACAGCTTCCAGTTCATCTTTCACATTACTGCAAAACACTGGAATCGCAACATATTTGTGTACTCCCAGCTTCCCCAGCCAATTATACAGATTCCTACTTCTCTTGCCACGTCCTTGGATAGTACACCCCACATGTTCCTTCCACCTAGCCCACAGTTCACGTTCAGTCATCCCCACATATATCTACTTATGCCATGGGGATATCAGTATATATACAAAACCCTTCGGGTTACGCAAATCCAAACTACCCTTCTCACATTCCTCCTTCCAGTACTCCACAAACTTCCTTCCCCATCTTACTTGTTCATGCACGATTAGTTCGATAACAGTTGCGCGCATAACCGCTTCATCTCCCTTGTTCTTAATCCCCCCCAATCGCCTTTTCTCGGCCAACTCACTACAGATACCCCAAGAATCACTCCCTTCCTGTCTTCATTCACTGTTCTGATCAGTCCCCTTCCCTTCCCTCTGCTCTATGCGCTTTGCACTCCGGGTCACTCTCGTATTCGATGTTGGTGACGCTGGCAATGGGATGTTGACTAGATCGTAAGCCTTCAGTACCCGCCTAGTCGTCAGTCTCTTAATCGCCAACTCTCGCTTACCGTACGTCACCTTTTCTAGTCTACACGCTTCCTTCAGCTCATCGATTGTCAAGGCTTCATATAACTCCTTGCACTCCGCCTCAAACCGGTCCGCAGCCTGTCGTGACGTGTTTCAATGATAGCCCGATTTTTCCAACCGGTTCCAATATCGAGCTCGACGTGGCCTTCACTTTCTCTGCACTTCGCAGTTCTTCGATTCTCAATTTTGTTGCCGTGGACAACCCTGTCCTCTTTGTTGGAGTCGTTATTGGTGGACTGTCCCCTATCGGCATTTCCTTCCTTCGCTTCCTCTTCTCGTGGATACTCAATCCTGCCGCACGTCATCTTAAAAATTGGAGCTCATTGTCCTCCTCCTCCTCCTCTTCCGCAGCTTCTAGAAAAGCAATCTCTCGACGGAGTCTTTCCTTCTCGTTTTCGATTGTCTCCCCACGCTCGTTGGTCTTCACATGTTTTCTCGTTTTCCTGTCATATTTCCTTGTTTCCGATTCCTCACTCTCGATCTTCTTTCCTGTTTCCCGCTGAATCTCCATCCTGACCAGATACAGCAGCTGATCGTCTCGTTCCTTCTGCTCTCGCTTCTTTTCTGCTTCTTTTTCCAGTTTTCCCCTTGCCTTCTCCTGCCTAGCAGCTTCCGCTTCTCTCTCAGCTTCCTCTCGCTTCTCCTTCTCCATCTTCTCGACCCTCACCTGCTCTTTACGCGCTAAGTACTCCCTCATCAATCTATTCATCTCATCCGATTCGCTCCGCACTGTATAGCTATCCGCTGAGAGGCTCCTCCGCTCAGAGCCCGGTGCCATCGTCCGCTCGATCCGCCCTGTCCCTAGTGGCGGAGACACGAATGGTTTGTTACTCTCCTTCGCTTCCCAATACTCTTTGCACACATTTGCGAAGTGGTCCGGGTCGCCGCACTTATAGCATGTTCTTCCCGCCATTGGATTCCGTGGATATGACGGGAGTTGCCCACCACTCCCCGAACCACTCGCCTCCTTCTTCCCGCCGGCTCCTCCCGATGTCTCCGAGCCGCTTGCGCTACTCATCCCGTCCCTTCACTGCCTTCTTCCTTCTCGTCTCACCTCCTTGCTATCCTTCCACCAAATGATTCCACTCGTAGTCGTCCGCAAATCACGAACTAATGTCGTAGTATCTTCGTCGTCAGCTGCCACCCTCTCTAGGTACGATCTCCTAGCAGGTTACAACCATGGATGCAAGAAGCAATAGATGACTCACACATAGCATGAATCTCACACATAGCATGAATCTCACACATAGCATGAATCCGGCACACGACACTGACGTGCAACAGCACAACGGTCATTGTCTAAAAATTGTCGAAAAGAGTATGAAAAAATGTCGCTCGTAGCCAGGGTAGCCCGTAACAACAACGTGACAGCTCTGCTCATGCGAATCATTGTTCGCATTGACCGTAACGCGCTTGCAGGATGTGAGCACTGCCAAGCGCGAAAGGGGTTGATCCGACTGTAGGCCAGATTTAATACCTTCGTCAAACCATTCCGGAAACTATGCCTAGGACCAGACCAACTAGAACCATCCGAGTTTGAGATTCCGTATCGTAGTCCTACCCATCTCCTACTACCGAAGCCTCCGCACGCACAGACAAATTCTCACAAACAAAGAAAAGAACAGTCTGACAAACACTCCGACAAACAACCGAAACCAGTTCGAATCCTATGCTATCCATCCAAGACAACAACTACTGCCAATGCTCAAAATACAGACGACAAACAAGGAGACCGGTTCGACTCCTATGCTATCCATCAGAAACAACAGCTACCACCAATCCACGTTTTTGGTCCCATACAGTCCACCAAACAAATCAACAAACAAAGGAAATCGGTTCGAATTACTCAATCTTCATCCAATGTTCGAATCACACAGACAACTAATCGATGGGTTCTCACCCAGATAATGAATCGAGGGATTCAACTAATCGATGGGTTCTCACCCTGTGGTTAAGAACAACGGGAAAAAAAACGAAAGAAAAAAGAAAGAAAAAAAGAAAGAAACAAGAAGAAAAAGAAGAAGAAGGAGAACAAAGGGGGAGGCATGGCAGGGCGATCTCAGCCCTGCCACGTGGCAGGGCGCCAATCGCCCTGCCCCCCTCCACCCCCCACCACAACCTTGTTTTTTTTCCAAAAAATATGCTTAAAAACAACGAAAAAATAAAACGAAAGAAGAAAGAAAGAAAGAAAGAAAGAAGAAGAAGAAGAAGAAGAAGAAGAAGAAGAAGAAAGGGGGAGGGAAGGGACGGGGGGGGGGCTGGCAGGGCGCCAATCGCCCTGCCCCCCTCCAGCCCCAACCACAACATTTTTATTTTTTCAAAAAAATATGCTTAAAAACAACGAAAAAATAAAACGAAAGAAGAAAGAAAAAAAGAAAAAAAGAAAGAAAGAAAGAAGAAGAAGAAGAAGAAGAAGAAGAAAGGGGGAGCAAAGGGGGGGGGCTGGTAGGGCGCCGATCGCTCTGTCCCCCTCCACCCCCGACCACAACCTTTTTTTTTTTTTTTGAAAAATGTAGTTAAGAACAACGGAAAAAAAAAATGAAAGAAGAAAGAAAGAAAGAAAGAAAGAAAGAAGAAGAAGAAGAAGAAGAAGAAGAAGAAGAAGAAAGGGGGAGGGAAGGAGGAGGGGGGGTGCTGGCAGGGCGATCGCGGCCATGCCACGTGGCAGGTCGCCAATCGCCCTGCCCCTCTCCACCCCCCACCACAACCTTTTTTTTTTTTTCGAAAAATATGCTTAAAAACAACGGAAAAAAAAAACGAAAGAAGAAAGAAAGAAAGAAAGAAAGAAGAAGAGGGGGGGGCTGGCAGGGCGCCAATTGCTCTGTCCCCCTCCACCCCCCACCACAACCTTTTTTTTTTTTTTCTTAATGTAGTTGAGAACAACGAAAAAAAAAAATGAAAGAAGAAAGAAAGAAAGAAAGAAAGAAAGAAGAAGAAGAAGAAGAAAGGGGGCGGGAAGGAGGAGGGGGGGAGCTGGCAGGGCGATCGTGGCCCTGCCACGTGGCAGGCCGGCGATCGCCCTGCCCCTCTCCACCCCCCACCACAACCTTATTTTTTTTTTTCCGAAAAATATGCTTAAAAACAACGAAAAAAAAAAACGAAAGAAGAAAGAAAGAAAGAAATAAAGAAGAAGACGAAGAAGACGGAAGAGGGGGGGAAGGGGGGGGGGGGGGGGGGGGGGCGGCTGGCAGGGCCATCGCGGCCCTGCCACGTGGCAGGGTGCCGATCACTCTGCCCCCCCTCCACCCCCCACCAGGACCTTTTTTTTTTGAAAAATATCCTAAACAAAAACGAAAAAATAAAATGCAAGAAGAAAGAGAGAAAGAAAGAAAGAAAGAAAAAAGAAGAAGAAGAGGAAGAAAAAGAAAGGGGGAGGGAAGGCAAGGGCGGGGGGTTGGCAGGGCGCCGATCGCCCTGCCCCCCTCCACTCCCCACCACCCCCCACCACAACTTTTTTTTTTTCTTCGAAAAATATAGTTAAGAAGCAATAAGCAAGAAGCAATAGATGACTCACACATAGCATGAATCTCACACATAGCATGAATCCAGCACACGACACTAACGTGCAACAACACAACGGTCATTGTCTGAAAATTGCCAAAAAGAGTATGAAAAAATGTCGCTCGTAGCCAAGGTAGCCCGTAACAACAACGTGACAGCTCTGCTCATGCGAATCATTGTTCGCATTGACCGTAACGCGCTTGCAGGATGTGAGCACTGCCAAGCGC